TATATATATATATATATATATATAAAAAATATGCACATTTGGCCTCTCAAATTCCTAACATAAAGAAGCACTGCTGTCTCAGAGCCTCCACCAGGGTCATAAATCCCTATATCCGCTAACACCCTGAGGGGACAAAGTGTCACTGTGTCTGTGCAGGTTAATTCACGATGCAACAGAATCAAAGCAACCGATTTTTTTCCATTTTCCTGTTTAAATTGCTCTAAGAGCAAAGCCAAAGTCTCCATGGGACACCATCAAGCTCGCAACCATCATGAAAACAAAGCTCCTTGACTGCATTACAAACAGCGCTTCAGCTAATTAAAAGCCAACTCATTGAAATATCTAATTGACTTTTCTGTGCAGAGAGCTTGCTCAAAAAAAATCTAGCCTTTCTAGAAGGCACAGTTGGGCTCTGGATCAGGCCCTGCTGCTCTGCACCTTAGGTAGCCTTGGAGGGGAAACCACTGCACTTGGGTGATGATGGCTTCCAGGATCTTTAGCTCTCAGGTTCCTGGGTGCCCAGAGCTGATCCGTGGCCCTGTGGGTTATACTGGAAATTAAGCAACAAGAAAAGAAACATGAACCATCAGTCCTGGGTCTTAGAAAAAAGAAGTAGCAGCCAACCTGCCCTGGGGCTGACTGGTGGAAAGCCACCGCTCTGCCTCGCCTTCCTCACCTTCTGGGTGCCAATGGCCCGGCGGGGACTCTTGCCCAAGCCCGAAGGGGACAGAGTATTGCCTCTGCCTTGAATTTCTTTTCTTATGCTGCACCTCACACCTTGTACAGCTTTGTTATCCCCTCTGGAGGAACTGGGGAGAGGATTTAGCTTCTCCATTTCCAAGTCCTCTCCCTGCCAACTCCCCACCATGCAACGTCCAGCTCCGTTTTAAAACCAGCGCTGTCAGTCATACTGCGCAAGCTGAGTTTTATTGGTCACAGTGAAAACCCAGCAAAAGCAAGGTCCCTTCTCAAACAAACCCCTCAGTGGCTGGCGACACGCAGTTTCTATAGATTTAAGGTCTCTGGCTGTGCACAGCGATGCAGTGAAGCGAGGTGGTGGCAGGAGGGGAGCAGCACAAGATACCCCAATGCGGCTTCTTGCTGCTCCATGAACTTTCCAAAGAGGTGATCTAAAGAGATCATTTCCAGCGTACTGGCCATGTTTGTATTTATTTATTTTTCCCCACTCCAAGAGCAAACCCCGGGGCGTCAGGTATTCCAGCCCCTTGTGCTTTTTTCAAGGTTCAAAGCGTATTTGAGAGTCGCGTCCTCTCTTCAAACAGAAGCAGGGAGCAAGGCAATTCCTGCAAAGCAACCAACCCCATTCCAAAAGAAAACAAAAAATAAAAATGAGAGAGGGAAAGAAACCTCCCTCCTTTCCAAAGGGGGAAAAAAAAATAAAGGAAGATAAATCCAAACCAACCCCCCTGCGCCCCAGGGCTGGTAGAAGGTGTCCAGATCCCAGAGTCTGTTGTGTTGGTGGGAAAAGCCCAGTGACCTCCAGCTGTCGGCAGCCCGACCGCCCGGCCCCGCGCTCGCCAGGGCGCTCCCCAGGCACGGCTTCCTTGGCGTTGGCTCCTTGCCCCGTCCCTCCCGCTGCAGAAAGGCCAGCGGTACTCGGTCTGAACTCGGCGATGCTCTGGGCGCTTGATTTTTCATCATGCCGAAGATGTGTTTTCCCCTTTAGCTGATGTGGGTTTTGCTTTTAAAATTCACAGTCTGATCCAAAAAAGAGAGAGAGAGAGAGAGAGAGAAAGAGAGAGACTGGATGAAGTAGAGGACGAGGAAGAGTTTTGAGCGGGGAGGGAGGGAGCACGAGGCACGCCGGGCTCTCCTTCTACGCATAAAACTCCTCCTGCTTGTCGGGCTTCTGGTACGTCACGTTGGCTTGCTTGGGCTCCTCCAGCGTGTAACTGCCCTCGTCCTTCTTCTTCATCCGGTAGATGAGCAGCATGACCAGGAAGGCAGCAAAGAGGGCTCCCACCACGCCGCCCACGATCACCGCTGCAACACAGAGAAGCGGCACAGCCGTCAGTGCAAATAATTTGGGGGGATCTCTTTGGATTCCAGCTTGGTTTTGTGCTTTGCAAGTTTGTGAGCAACTTTTCTCCTGAAATCTGTGGTTAAGAAAACTGAAAACCAAGGTGAGGGGCTAATGAATTGCGTGATTCAAGGAGCTTCAACAAGCTCCCAAGTGCAGCGATGCTGAAGGGTGGGTAGGACCCAAAAGCATCTACTTTACAGCTGCACGGTGGGCGATGGACTGGGACGAGGCAGCCCGGGCACTGAGAGAGGTCCCTGCACAGGCTGTAACTTTATGCAGGAAGGGTGCAGAAAGTCCCCCAAAGAGCTGCTCATTTGGGTGCCACGCTCAGCTGAAGACCACCAGAACAAGAGCCGCCATGCTGTGCCATCACCTCCAGTTCCCTCTAGCTGGCAGTGGGACACTGACACCTCTGCCCCATCTCTGATGTCCCTCTGGCTGGGACAAGTGGCCCTCCCCAGGCACCTCTCTCCTCCCCTGCATCAGAGGTGGCTGGGTGGCATTCAGCCAGCACTGTAGCATGTCTTTCCACTAACATCCTATTTTTTTCCTGGAAACCCATCTTAGCAAAAGCAAATTTTGCACAGCTCTGCACTCTCCTTGCAAAGACTTGAAGACCTCTGGGAACACCCCAGCACAGGCGCTAGAGCCCTCTATTTTGGCAGGTGAGCGTGGGTTATCCCAGGCTCAACATTACCCTAGCACCCTGCCAAAGACTGCCCCCTCTCTCGGGGCACCGACAGCCCCGCTGTCCGTCTCTCCCCAAACACACCAGATTCTTCCCCCGCAAGCCCACAGCCTCCGGTCTCACCTATCAACACTTCTTTCCTCTCCAGGATGTTTTTCTGGGGGAGCTGAGCAGCCGAGTTGCCAGAGTCTATCGTGTTGTCGATCAGTCCCGGCTCCGCGTTCTTGCCCAGCCCGGGTCCTGACGGTGGTGTCACCACGGCCATCACCTCGTTACCGAGCTCAGGACGGGTCGTCTCTTCCTCCTCCCGGATCTCAAAGTCCCCGCTGGGGCCGCTGCTGACCGGGACCTCCAGCTCGTTGTCGAGGACTGTCGTCATCTCCGCTGGTTCCATCTGGGAGAAAGGACACGGTGGAGCAGGGGACAAGGACCAAAGAGTGGTTCCTGCCTCCAGCAGCTCCAATGTGTCCAAAGGCCATCACAGTACCGATAACAGGATGGCCCTCTCAGCAGGGAACATGGGGGATAACACTGGGGTCTCCCTTCCCTGTGTCACTGAAGTGGCTGGTTATATTGCAGCAAGCAACACAACCCCACATCTTGACGGTCACCAAAAGGCTGAGGTGAGCATGGTTGAGCTGGACCATTCTTTTCCGTTCCCATCCCAAGTGCCCTCAAGATGCACAAACTCTCACCTGTTCCCAGTAGCTTCCCCTAAAGAGAGCCCCACATCCCAGACCCTCATCTGAGCTCTCTGTCCCCAGTGTAGACTGATGGCTGGCTGAAACATCTCACAGATGCCTCCTTGCTGGACTTGAAGCGAGGCAACTCTTTGTGCTACAGCAACATAGCAAGTGTAAGGATCACATGCCATCAGGGGGGTCCCTTCCCTCTCCCTTTTCTCCCTTCAGCCTGATCTTATGGTTGCAGCCCTGTGGTGCAGGGCGGGAGCAGGAAGAGGGGTCCTCTCACCCAGGACATGGAGCCAGCCCAGCTCTCTGCTGTGGTCCCTGACCAAGCCCTCTTGGCAAGGAGGCAAACCCAGCCTGGATAGCAAACACGGGCCGGGCAGATGAGCCGCTCCATCCCCCTCCAGCCCAACCCTGACCTATTCACTGCCTCCTGCGCATCCCCACACCTGCAGCTCCCTCAGGGCCAAATCGCCCTTGTCCCAGCAGCCTGACCTGCAACGTGTCCACATGCTGAGGTGGACCACACTCAGCATCCCTGAGCAAAACCCCGTGGGATCCCTCCTTCGCGGGGCAAATGGCTCCCTCCTCGGCTGCCTCCGGACGTTACAAACAGGATGAGCAAAAAGCTCGATGGGCCGAAGCCGGGGAGGGCGAGCAGGAGCCCTCTCCATGTCACGCTGCCCCCGGCACGAGCGCATGGCTCACTGCTTCCCACAAGCGAGTGTTTTTGTGACAGAGATTAATTGAAGGTCAGCGAGAGCCCAGAGCGCTATACATACATATACATACACAGAAAAGAGGGACTAGTTTAGACAAATCACTCCACCTTTCAGTCAAAGCGGTTTTCAAAGGGCGCCTGAGGGGCTCTGAATGAGAGATGGATCAGCGGATTAAATCCCCTGCTCAGGACACCCGACGGGCTGGAAATGCGCTGTCAAGCCGTAATTGCAGAGCGTTTGGGCCTCCCACTGATGGGCTGCGAGTTGGGAAATGGTACAATGAGCCCAGCCACCAAACCCAGAGGAAAGCCGCTCTTTCCCCATGAGGCGGCGGTACCCCCAGCCCTGCTCCCCTCCTGCCTGGGGAAGCTGCTCTGGAGCAGCTGGGCACGGCAGAGTCAGAGGCACCAGGGACGCGTGGCAGACCCGTGGGTGCCCCCCATCAGCTCTTGCACCAGCCCCATCACCATGTTCTGCTCGTGCTAGACCCCCCATCCTTTAATCTCCCCTCTCCAGCTCCCCAAATGTTCCACTCTCCGCAGAGCTGGGAAGAGCCCAACCTGGCTTGACTTCCCTCTGAGCAACCGGCTCAGGATGGATCTACCCCAAAGGCTTCCCATCACCACCGCTTGGCTTCAAATATGGTCCACGAGCCCTTTAGCAGGTGAGAAGGGCTCCTGCCTCCTACCTGGGGGGCTTCTGTGGGCGGCAGCGTGGCAGGACTGGATGGCAAGGCAGTGCTTTTTTCTGTGAGGTCTGCAGTCCTGGAGGTGCTTGGTTTTGGCAGAGACCTGGGCTTGGCTGTGCCAGTGGGGACAAGCTGTGACGTGACCACCTCTGTTGGTGTGCTGGTTTCAAGGATGGAGGTGGTGGGTGTCTCCAGGGTGGTGGCCCAGGTGGTGGCTGCCTTGGTGACAAAGGGGGGCAGGAACCTCCGGACTGTGGTGGGCTTGGCAGTGGCCATCGTGGTGCTGGTGGTGGTCGTGGCCGCGGTGGTGGTGGTGGTAGCCGTGGTGGTGGTCATGGTGGTGGTCGGGGTGGTAGGGGAGTCGCTGGCAGTGGTACTAGTGGTGGTTGCTTTCCAACTGGGGATCACTGGTGTCTCTGTCATCCTGGGGATATACAAGATGCTGGTTGTCTGCTCAGGGGTGGTGTCCTCAGCAGGGAATGGTTCAAAGGGGGTTGCCACAGGCTGCACCGGGGTGATGGGCAGCACAGCCGCCGTGGTGGGGAGCGTGACGGAAGTGTCCATGGTGAGGCTCACTGCTGTCTCGAGCCCCGACTCCTGCTCAAAATCTGAAAGAGGGGGAGAAGAACAAAGGGTGAAGCTGCTGCTGCCCTGGCATTTCCCAGGGCTGACACCCACCTGGTTTCACCGCCCAAAAAAATGAGAGCATGGACTGGTTACGGGCTCCGCAGCAACCAAAGGCTGCAAGTTCCCATGTGGTGGCCAAAGCCCCTCTCTGGGGTCAATGAAACCTCTGTAACATTGGCACATGTTATCATGCTGGGGAAAGGTTAATCCTGCCCAGTAGGACCAGAGACTGAAATAGGAAATGGAGTCACTTGGGCCCAACCTTTGGGACCGTTCCCTTTGGCTTTGTCTAGGAGAGGGCAGGATGGTGGCTCCGGAGATGGGCAAGGGGCGATCCCCTCCCTCGCATTGCATGGCAAGCCCCTCTCCTGTCCCACCAAAACCCACGGCCAGGCTCCCCAGGGACCCTTCCCCAGGAACCCTGCAGATACTTACACCCCGAGCCAGAGCCCGAGTAGACATCGTCCAGTTCATCATCCCCAAAGGGGTCATCGTCCCCGGAGCCCTCCAGGTCCACAGGCCTCTCGTAGTTCTCGTTGCGCCAGCGCTGAGCCTGCAGCCGAGTGAGGAGAGACGCGTGAGCAGCTCCAGCCCAACCGAATCAAGACCGGTCCCTGCACAGACACCCCCAGACAGCCCTCACGGGGCGATGCACGGGTTAAACAGGCCAGGGAAAAGGAAAACCAAGGGAGCAGGAGCGCAGGCAGTGCTCTCCAGCTGAGCCACCCAGAAGCGTGGGGTTTTTTTCCCCAAAACAATTCGCTGCTGCAAATCCTTTAGACAAGCTGACATTTTGTGGAGAGCTCACATTGACTCCAATAACATTTCCCATGGAAATGAGCCCTCTGGAAAAAGGGGGAAAAAAAACAACAACTGCTTTTGGAAACTGTTAGAAAAACTATCAATTTGGTTCTCCAGCTCGCTGTTGTTTCATTTTAGATTATTTTCATGTGATTGCTGGCACAGATGTGACAGTAGCGCGCACTCTATCAGCTGCCATAACTTGGAAAAGTCTCAATATGAAACAATATCAGACTTCAAATATTCCACTACTCTGCAGTGCTGCTAAAACTTGAAGAGCCCTTGCTAGTAGGGCTCTTAAACATCTTGTTTTGCAGATCAAAGTGTTGCAAGGAAGCAGTTTGACACTTCATTACAACCCAAACAAGGAGGCTTTGATCTGCAAGATAGCATCAGATGTTTCAAGATGTAACAAGCCAGGTTAGTGCTTAAATTTAAAATAACGGGGTAGAAGGGTCCCCTTCACCTTTTAGAGCATTTTAGCTCTTGACAACAGCTTCAAGTTTCTTTGTTTTCATTCCAGATTGGAACAAAAAGGAATTTTGAAAAGTCAGAAGGTCCCATGATAGAAATTTGGGACTTAACTCGCATTTTGTCCCCACATCTCTTCTCTGGGAGCCCATCAGCTGGCAGGGGAGAGAAAACTCGGCAGCCCTTGGCCGCAGCGAGATGCTCGGGACTGGGAGGTGGGAGGACACTTCCCAGGGGCTGTGGGCTGATTGCTGCCGTGGTGCCCAAGCCAAAGAGATGTCTGCTGCCCAAACCCTGCCCGTATAGTCACGGGGGGGCTGCAGATGTACCACTTGTGTTATACACCCGCGGTGACAGCATGAGCACATTCCTGGGGACATAAATCTCTCAGGAAGGTCAAGGGCTTTTAAGTGTCTGTCTCTCCTGAAAGCACTGATCAGCTTTTTCGGGCTGGATCTATTCCTTTATCTCCAGCGATAGCCACTATCACCGCAGCCACTGGGCTTATCCTGCCAATCTCCAACGTGCCGTGCACTTTCCAAACCGCTGGGAAGACTCAGTCTTTGCACCAGAGATAATGCACCATCCTGGAGTTTCAAATACACGGTCGCTAGTAGCTCCCTGAAGAAGTCCGTTATCTACCAGAATTAATCCACAGGGAACTGGGAATCGTGGCCCCTGCCGAGCTACAGAGGCCAAACCCTGCTGCAGCACGAGGCTGAGGATGGAAGCGATGTGCTCTGAATCTGGGAGTTGGTGCTGATTAACCCGTAGAGATGCTGGAAAGACCAGCCATGGCCATGGTGCTCGGGAACCAGCCTGGAGAGAGGAGGGACCAGGAGAGATGGGATGGAGGCAGGACGTAGCCAAGAGCAAGGGGGACACATCCCTGCAAGGCAGGAGCTTGCTTTCCCTCCTTGGAAATCAAGGTGTCACCAATGGGTGACAAGCGAGATGAGCTCAGTGTTGCCAAATGATTTCAAATAATCCTTTGCTCTGATCTATGGAGGAACAGGCTCCAACTCCTGGAGAGGAGATGGTAAAAAGTAGGGAAAAACTGATGCACCAAGGATGAGTGCAAGTGATTTTGCTAAGTGATGTCTCACCGGTGTGCAACCACAAAATAAATAAAATGCAATAACAAATGGATGCCCAGGCAGGATCTGCTGTAGCCCAGGGGGAAGGCAGTGGATAGAAGTAGAAGACCCCAAGAACCTTTGGTTTCACCACACAAGTTTTCCATGACTCTCCAGCACTGACTCCAAAACCTTTAGGTCAATGTCCCTCCTGGATCAGTAGGACAAAGCTATGGAGTTATGGAGCTCACCCACTGCAAAATGGCCCATCCAGGACTTCCTTGTCCCTGTGCCCAGCGCAGGGAAGCCCAGGCCCAGGAGATACCAGGAGACATGCAGAGGCTGGTTCAGTGTCTTTTGAAGGCTGATGGGGTGCACCACCCACCCATAGGAGCCCATAAATTATGAGACAGGCCACAAAAAATAGGAGCCCATAAATTATGGGACAGGCCACCAAAACTGATGGGAAGGCAAGGAAAAATTGCAAGGTTTGAGGGATGGGAGGAAGAAACATTTGGAGTTGCTTTTATTTGCCTTTTGATTATTACACCAAAAACAGTGAGGCTCACCAAGAAATGAGGAAACCACTGTGCAGGCGCTCCCCAAACCACCCCTCACCCCTGCCAGCTCACCAGGGCGAGCTCCCCGAAGGCCAGATTCTCTCTGCGTGACCTGCAAAGCCTCACTGTAATGGGAGCCACATGGCCCAGCTCCATCGAGCCTGTTTCTCCCTTAAATTGGAACCAGACGAGGCAGCCCCCCGCACTAACTCCCCTGCTTGGACCGGGAAATGAAAACGGAAGCGCACAGCCCCAGCATGCCACGCCAGCCCCCATCAATCCATCCATCCATCCACCCATCCCACATGGTGGAGGGACTCAGCGCAGCCAGCGTGTCCTGGACCTGCTTTGCCCAGGAGAAAAGCCTGGAGCGATGCAGCGAGGGCAAATGGGTAGATGCCGATGAGAACCGTCCAGCCCCAAATCCAAAAGCAAACCTTCCCATGAGAATAACATCCCCGTAGTTTGCTCAGACAACAACCGAGCCCAGCACCCCCCTGCTCAGCACATGGCTGGGGAGGACTCCCCAGGTACCGCTGCCTGGTTCCAGCATCCTCCCAGGGCACCGACGGATGCTGTGCTCCAGCCTGCAGCCTCTGGCTCCCCAACGGGATGCAGATTTGGAGCTAGGGGTCCTTCCTCTGGGTCTTTCTCCTCCCCAGATCCACAGCCCCTGCATTGTGCAAACACCTTCGCTCCCTCCAGGTTGAGGGAGCGGGATCCACACCACAGCCCCACGGGGATCCACCTTCTGGCACTGCTGACTGCAGCAGGAACAACTTCACAGCAATAAAACACCTCACAGGGCCAAAACTCACTCTCCGGAGACAACTTCCCTGATGTGAGAGACATCTTTCCCACGCCTGCCCCTCACACGCCAGCCTGCAGGGGAGCAGAGATGTTCGCAGCCAGGTTTTGTCCTAAGTGGATTCCAGAGGATCGGCGGCGATCAGTGGAGTTTATACCAATGACTACAGCAGCCCATGGCACAGGGCAGCCCACCCGCAGCCCAGCTCCAGCTGCTGCCTGGCCAGCTCAGTGCATGTAATACCAGCTCCTGCACGACCAGGCACCACGCTGCTA